ACACACACACACACACTGGCGACACATTGGCGTAGAATTTAGTATATAATTGTATCAATGTAAACTTCTGAGGCTGTGGGTGTGGCACAAGGATGCTGATTTATTATACGAGCTGCTGCACTGTTGCAACCTGTGCGAACCTTAGGGAATTATACTTTTAACTTTTGAGGTACGCGTGAATCCTGCCCGTGTGCGCGAAAGTGCGTGTCAAGGTGGAGACGCACCGTCGTCGTGTACACGCGAGCTCACGTCTCACCATAGTAGTATTATACTGTCGAATGGACGCGGCTACGCTGGATCTTTATATGTATCTATGTGCAAGAAGAAGAGAGAAAGTTGTGATTGAAGCCATTCGACATTTCTAAAGGGAAATTTTTAGAAAAATAAATTTTATTTTTTAAGTAGAAAATAATTAGAGAGGTATATTTTATTTTTTACTCTTTTATACGCGTATTTGTTTTGTTTTATATTTTATTTTAGAGGAGCGTGATATTCTTACGTGGTGTAATAATTTATATAATTGAGGAATAAAATATATATAGCTCGCGCTCGATAAAAATGCGAGTATGTGAAATAAAAGATTGTAAGAACAAATAAAGCGCGAGGGGAAACTCTGCGAAATAACACGAATGATTAAGAAATCAATGCTATTGGCACTACCTTCATTATTATTATTTACGGTGCAATATGATAAGATGCGAGCTCACGTGACGTAATAACGGTGGGCCTCCACCTTTAGTCGACGTTTTGTCCTGGAACGCAATCCGCGGTCGATCAGCGGCGCCTTAGAGCCATTATTATTGCTATATGACATAATTACGTAGATACAATTAGCGAACAGCGAGACCAATGTACGTCGAGCCCATGAACACGTGCGAGAACCGCAATAGCGAACATGAGAGAGAGAGAGAGAGAGAGAGAGAGAGAGAGAGTGTGTTTGACGTGTTAACGTTATTCGATGGTTACAAGGTGACATATTAATTAGCCGATATACATATTAGATATAAAATATATATTCCTGTTCTCTATTTCTTAAAGTAATATTACGACAGTTGACCAGAGTGGAACAATGACTGCTCTTCGTAAGAAGACGATCGTCCGTCCAAAACCTTTTAAATCTTTTAAATTATTTCATCGTTAAAATTTTCACTAATTTAAGATTGGATCATAAGAGGTGGTGAACACCAAAATTTTCGAGAAAGTAAATATCACAATAGAATCAAACCTGGATTTTAAATTGACGTTAAACTTAGCTCGATGTATTATCTATCTATGCGACCACGATGTATTATTGCTGTAAAAGCGACATGAAAAGGAAACAAAAAAATTTATACACTCAATTTAGATACAGAGGTTATAAAAAAGTCTAGTCACAAAGTTTTGTGTTTATCAATTATTAGTATAACATGTATTCACAAAAAACTTCGGATTGTTAGTTATATCTTATTAAATACAAAAAATAATAAACATTCAAAAGAGACCTTTAACTTTAATGTAAGGCATTTCGGGAACACATCAACGATAGCTATGTAATTTTCCATGAATAAATTCTCTCAGGCAGCCAATAGAACATTTAGTTTCAAAATAGTTTTTAGTTCAACTAATTTAGTCAACTAATAAAAATCTTTCGTTGCAGTTTTTTGCTATTTAATAAGATCTAATTGACACTGTTTAGAGTTTTTTTTTTTTTTTAAATGTACGCGTTCTTATTCAGATAGTAAACTATTTATTATCATTTTGACGTAAAAATAACATCTTTATGTTCTGACATCAAGAGTTCTTTTCATTATCGAAGAATTCTCTGAACACAGTGCAGTAAATTGAAGTCATTATATTTGTTTCATTGCAACTTAGTGCACCAATTCAGAGAGTCCGTAAATAAAAAAACAAACTTAAAATGACGACAAATAACGTCAGTTTGTTACACTGAAAAAAAAGTACTAAATTTCAATAAATATTTGTTTGAATAGTTTTAAGCAAATATTTACTAAATATAAACATGTATTCATTTGATACAAAAACTATTAATTTAACTATTTATTCTTTTATTAAATAAATATTTATTTACTGTAAGTAAATGTTTATTTGGTACTGTTAAAAAAAATATGTATCAAAATTTGATAAATTCTTTTTCAGTGTATCTGAATAATGATTTGATAAAAACTAAAAACACGAAACTTTGTCACTTTGAACTTATTGTCACCGTCATAAAAACAATTTGTTATCAAAAATTTGTTACCAAATTGCAGTCTCAACATAAAAATCGACGCGATAATACAATATCGAATTTTGGCTTCCATGATTATCTATTAATTGCGTACGGCGAGTTGAATTGATTTTATTAAGGTAGACGATCGTCGTCGAAGCAGCGTTATTCTATCACGTACTATTCACTTTATTTCGCGGCGACATTCTCGAGGGGAATTGTACGTAGAGAAGAGAGAAACTTGGACCGGATCATCCGTGGCACGTAGAAATGGAAATGCTGGTGTGAGTCTGCGGAGAAACGAACTTTATTTCACCTATATTTAATTTTTTTGTACAGTATTTTTATGTTATCACACATTTTAATTCTACAAAGATCTTATCTCACAGTATCTGTAACGTGCAAGTTTTTATCCCGCGTTATGCAAATTTTTAGAAAGAGACGACGCGACGCATTATTTATAAGTAACCCGACGGTTATTTTAGTTATTCGATATAACATAAGTTACTTACTTTTACATTGCTTCCTTTCCCTTCGAAACGCGCCATCTCTAGAAATTAGCATCCTCCGCCTTTCTATAGAATTTAAGAAAACGGATAAAACTTTGCGAAATAGGATCGATTAATTTATTATTTCTATCTTATATTCACCGCGCGTTTTCGAGAATTTGTATATTTTTTTTAGCTTCTAAGGCATTATCTGAAATATATCATCCTTATTTTTCGAAAAGTGTTTGAGAAAATGCACTGCAGACAAATCTCCAGACAGAACGGATAAACAATTTTTATTTCCATTATTTTTTTCTTTTCAGTTACTTGTTTATACGATCCTCTCACGAGTCTCGCCTTTTTGTTTTTTATCCTTTTGCTCGACGAGAATTTCGAATCGCTGAGCAAAAGTCCAATCCGAGGAGCGGTACACTGTAAATTTCTTGGAATGAAGTCTCACTCCAAGAGAGTGAGAATGCAATCACTTTTGAAAAGGAGTGAAAATCTACTCCAAGAAATTTGGAGTGCATTTGGTAGCGGTTTCATACGATCATTTCCATCTCGGGTACGGATGTCATTGCATTGTCGTTACATTATCACGCGAATTAGGAGAGACTGTGTGAAATTGCGCTCGAATTGCGGGCTGACTGATGTGTCTCTCTCTCTCTCTCGCCGGACAAGGTGAGAGAGGAAAGGAACTTTCGAGCTTATCGCTCGCTCGGACTGGCTAGCAGATCCGTTGCGCTCGTGATAAACACAGCGTGATTATAGTGAACGCCATAGTATTATTAAACCGGTACACCGGCGTGATCCTTAGAATATTTTGGACCATTTGGCGAAGTGACACGACGCGATCTCGAGATCGATCGATCTCGTCGGGACTCGTTGTTCGTATCCGCACAGAGCGTTACATTCGAGATGATCGAATGCGCAAGAAAGCGCTCTTTTAGTTCCTACCTTTCTAAATTGTCAAGTTGGAGGTGCTTGGAAAATTTGAAATGTGCCTAAATTCCATATATTTCGAGGTTAAATCGCTGATTAAAACTGCTGTGAAAGAGAGCAGAAATTTTCAGCTCTCCTACACTGCAAATCCAAAAAATGAATTCGATATATGTACGTAATTTAAATAAGATAAAAGAAATTATTAGGCTCTGATGAAATAAATCAATGAAGTTGGAAATGCCTTTAAGAGCCGACACAAGATATATCAGTGTATAAATAATTTATTCTATACAATTGATAAAAGTATACGTTAAAAATATACCGATCTACGGTTTTTGTATATGTAATTTAACTTTATTATTCGATACGTATTTTAAACCACGAATTGGACAAAGTGATTTTGTGTCCTTACAGATTTTTTGTCGCTTAAAATGAATCCGTAAATGAAATTACTCTGTCACGTCACGTTTTTGAGAAAATTAGACTTGAAAGTACTGAAAGTGGCATTTTTTGATACTTTTGAGCTAAAATATCTCAAAAAACGTTATAGAGCAATTTCAAATACAGATTCGTTTTTAGCGACAAAGAATTTGTAAGAATCACTTTGTCCTGTTCGTTCTAGAAAAAAAATTTAAATTCATCGAATAAGTGTTTTTTGATTAAACATAATTTATTATGTACTATACATGCAAAAATGAATTTACACATTTAAACGTGTAGTATAGTATTATTT